TTCCTGAATTCTTCCAATTTTTTGTCTGTATTTTCCATGAATTTGTCTATTTTTTCCTCATTTTTGTCTGCTTTTTGCTTCAGCTCTTTGAGGATTCTGAGTATTAGAGATTTGAATTCCCTATCAGGTAGTTCTAGTGCCTTTTCTTCCACTGGAAAGTCATCTGGTGTTTTATTTTGGATGCGTACTGGAACCATCCTGTCCTGTTTTTGTAAATGTTTGATATTGTCTGCTGTCTTCAGGGAATTCAGTAGTTATTTTTCTCATTTATTTATTGTAGATTTGTTTGTTTCCTTTTTTTATTTTTAATTTGGCTATGTCTGAGAAGGTGGGCTGTGTGTTCTTTGTTTGCTCATCTGTGGGCACAATACTTTTTGCCTTCTTCTCCAATTGGTAGGGTCAGTCACTCAGATATCATACAGGAGGGCAGGTCTAGCTGAAGAGGAGTTACTGGAATGAGTTGTTTGTGGCACTTACTACAGCCACCAGGGCGCGTCAGTAATCAGTGCAGGGCAGGTTCCAGTAAGTCGTGCCTGTGCTGCTTGGTGGTGCGACGTTAAGTGCACGGTGCAGGCAGGCAGGATGTAGCAGGGAGATTGTTATGTGTGGAGCTAAGATGGTTATGGGAGATAGGAGAGAGAAACAGGAGCCCAAAACATACAAACAAACAAAAAAGAATGCTAGGGGATCTTGCCATTGGAGTGGAGAGATGAGAGACTATGAAATGGAGGAAAACAAAAAGGGGAAGAGGAAGAAAAGAAAAGAAAAGAAAAGAATGAATAAATAAAAATCAGAAAGGTTAAAGAACAGCAAAGTTCCCAGGGATCCCATCGGTGCGGCTATGAGGTTTGGGGAAGCTGTTCTCAGGTGTCTGGCTAGAAGGCATAGAGGTATACAATGCCAGGTATTCAGGGAACAGAAAGAGAAGGAAGATATAGAGAGACGAGAAACTGAGTAATGAAGGAAAACAAAAAGGGAAAAAGAGGGAAAAGAAAACAAAACAAGAAAAAAGAAGAACAAGAAAAGCTCCCCAAAAAACAGAAAAAAAAAAAGACAAAAAACAACGAGAAAAGAAATGTCCTCATGGATCCCTCTGCATGTCTGTGCAAGCTGAGGGGGTAGTTTCCAAGCCACACAGCACTGCCTGGGCAGAACGGGCTCCCAACTCAAGAAAAGGAAAACAAACAAACAAATGAATAAAAGCCCCGGGATCCCACCATTGAGGCAGCCCAGACTGGGAAGCAGCTCCACACTCAAATGGAGCTCTGCAGCCCCTCAGGAAGAAGCAAAGATGGCGCACAGAGCCACGTATTTGAGCGAAAGGAGGGGGAGTTGGTGAGAGGTAAGGAAGAAATCAACAGAAGCAGAAAAAAAGCGACACCAGCAGCCAACAAATGGCACTCAGACAGCCGGCCCATTCGGGTGGGTAGAATCCAAGCAGCCGATGCTTCCTGGACAAGAGATTGTGGCTGTGGGAAGCAGAGTAGGCCGAGTTGGGGTGAAGAAGGGTGGATGGTGGGAAAGTGTATATCGCAAATTACCAGTTGTTTTGTCTCCCGCTGGAAGGGCCGTGAAGCTGCTTTCTTGTACCCCCGTTTGCTGGTCTCCAATAGGAGTCCAAGATGGCAGATCCGTGCTGTGTTAGCTGATAGGGGACCTGTGCATGAATCTCTCCTAGCTCTCTGTTCTCTGTCAGTTTTCTCACTCCATTTGGTGCTTGGCTGAGTTCTTTATCTCTTCATTTGATATTTTAGGGTTTCAGGATTGTTGTATTCTCTCTTCGGCTTAGTTTTTTGGATCTTTGCTGTGGAGGGATGGCATGGTGCTTCTGCCTAGAGCGCCATTTTGCCAGAAGTCTCTGACATCTATTTTGATCTTTTCTTTCTTTCCTGTCTTTTTAATGACCTCTTGTTTTCTTCATGTGAGATGTCTTTGATGTCATTCCACAACTCACCTGATCTTTAGTCATTAGTGTTCAATGAGTCAAATCTATTCTTCAGATGGTCTCTAAATTCAGGTGGGATATACTCAAGATTGTACTTTGGCTCTCGTGGACTTGTTCTAATTTTCTTCAGTTTCAACTCGAACTTGCATATGAGCAATTGACGGTCTGTTCTGCAGTCGCCCCTGGTCTTGTTTTGATGGATGATATTGAGCTTTTCCATTGTCTCTTTCCACAGATGTAGGTGATTTGATTCCTGTGTATTCCATCTGGTGAGGTCAACGTATATAGTCACCATTTATGTTGAAAAAGGTATTTGCAATGAAGAAGTCGTTGGTCTTGCAAAATTCTATCACGCAATCTCTAGCATCGTTTGTATCACCAAGGCCAATATTTTCCAACTACCGATCCTTCTTCGTTTCCAACTTTCACATTCCAACCACCAGTAATTATCAATGCATCCTGATTGCATGCTCAATCAATTTTAGACTGCAGAAGTTGGTAAAAATCTTCAATTTCTTCATCTTTGGCCTTACTGGTAGGTGCGTAAATTTGAATAATAGTCGTATTATCTGATCTTCCTTGTAGGCGTATGGGTATTTTCCTATCCCTGACAGCATTGTACTTCAGGATGGATCTTGCGATGTTCTTTCTGAGGATGAATGCAATGCCATTCCACTTCAAGTTGTCATTCTGGCATAGTAGACTATATGATTGTCCAATTCAAAATGGCCAATACCAGTCCATTTCAGCTCACTAATGCCTAGGATTATGCATTTATGTGTTCCATTTCATTTTTGATGATTTCCAATTTTCCTAGATTCATACTTTGTACATATTAATGGGTGTTTGTAGCTGTTTCTTCTCATTTTGAGTTGTGCCACATCAGCAAATGAAGGTCCCGAAAGCTTGAGTCCATCCACATCATTAAGGTCGACTCTGCTTTGAGGAGGCAAGTCTTCCCTAGTCGTATTTTGAGTGCCTTCCAACCTGAGGGGCTCATCTTCCGGTACTACATCAGACAATGTTCTGCTGCTATTCATAAGGTTTTCACTGGCTAATTCTTTTCAGAAGTAGACTGCTGGTTCCTTCTTCCTAGTCTGTCTTAGTCTGGAAGCTCTGCTGAAACCTGACCATTATGGGCCACCCTGCTGCTGTTTGAATACCGGTGTAATAGCTTTCAGTATCACAGCAACACACAAGCCACCACAGTACAACAAACTGACAGACCTGTGGGGACACTCATAGATGGCAACTGGTAATTAGCTGGGGGCGGGGGGCACACAAGGGCTTTGAAACTGTTTATAATGTTCTTAAGCTAGTTTGTGGGCACATGGGTGTTCATTTTATTATTAAGCTGTACAACATTATATGTATTCATTGGTATGCTTGTAAATGTTTAACATTTGCCTTCTGAAAGGAGGGTGTGGGAGAAGGCCCTGATCTGGAGAGTTTGTTGATTTCCATGGTGTACATATGCTCACCATGGCTGATTTCAAGCTAGCAAATGGTTTGACAATCTGCTTACATAATTCAGGAAAAGTTTATAGTCGTCTCTCTTGATGGATAGATGCTGCTGTCTCCAGCACACCACTGGATGCACTTGTAGCTACATATGAGAAATTTCATAAAAAGAGAACCCAGAGAAAGTAGAATATTAAAGCACATGTTATGAAGGCTTGTAGCAAAAAGTTCCTTACGGGGGGACCTCATACCATTAAGAAAGCAGTGCCGGGAGCAGAGCGTTTCCTTTGGACCGGGGTCCCTG